AAAAGTGGAATTCTAGAGAGTTATTTTGCCTGGAGGTAATACACTTGTGAGGAGCCATTGGGGTACAGTAGTTAAGTCATGAAACCAAGCATGCGCGCTAAGGGAGTCAGCTCAAGAGCAATGGGATGGAACCCAGGGACGCTCCAAAGATGGTCAGAGATGTGAGAAAACCACTAGAAGAGACTGGACAAATAAGCTAATGCCAGACTGTGGCTGGCCTAAGGCAAGCTAGCGACTTGAATTTAGGTTTCAAAAGCCACACACCTAGAAAAGGACAGAGATGGTAAGAGACCCATATCTGCTTGCATTAGAGAAGAATCCTGCAGGGTGATCCCTTTACAGAAACAACGAAGTAAAATCAACCCTCACATGTCTTCCCACTAGGACCATTTCTTACAGCCTAAGTATCTACTATCCAGGTGATACTACAGCAGGGTCCTAAGTTGGTGGGACTTCTAGATGTGTGATACAACCAAATGCAAACTCCTGAAACTGAAGGTTTCTTCCCTTCATGGAGGTCATTAGGGCCTCATGAACTTCTCCCAATCTTAAGGACTTAAGGATAATAAAAGGCGCGCGCGCGCGCGCGCACACACACACACACACACACACACACACACACACAATCAAGCATGCTGGGGCAGGAGAGATGGATCAGTGGCTAAGAGCACTTGCTGAACTTCAAGAGGACCCCATTTCTATTCACAGCACTTATATCAGTGCTGGGGACTATGGCTCCCTAGACCCTGAATTTCCTGTGACCTCCGCCTGCCTGAGTAAAGGGCTCGTTTGCAGCTGCTCTGAGCATGAGACCCTCAGGAGTTCCTGATGGCAGGGAAGTGGTTTCTGGTGGGCTTGCAGCAGAGTTAGGCCGTGGCCATTTGGTCAGGGAAAACCTATATAAGCTGCCCTGGAACATAATAAAGTTGGCGTTCTTGATTCAAGGGGGCATTCTTGTTTCAAGGATGACCAATTTCTCTCTCTCTCTCTCTCTCTCTCTCTCTCTCTCTCTACGTGTTTCAATCTCCAGCCCCTTGCCTGGCTCGCGAACCATACTGTAGCGTGTAGAGTAGGCGTTGTG